TGAAGAGACATTGTTACCTTCATGTTATTGTGTTATAATTCAGAATAGCTAAAATATATAATTAAACCAAATGTGCATCAACATATGAATGCTTAAACAAATGTGGCATATGCATACCATGGAATATCTGTCAGTGTTAAAATACAGAAATTCTGACACATACTAAATCATGGATGAACTCTCAGGACATTGTGCAACTCAATTTATGGGGTACTGAGTCGTATTCATAAAACAGAAAACAGAATTATGGCTGATGGGAGCAAGAAACAAAAGTAAAAAATTTTGAATTTTGAAGATGAAATGAATTCTATATATAGAAAGGGAAGATTATTATAAAACAGTGTGACTAGATTTAATGATAATGAACTGTACCATGTGAAACCAGGATGGAAAACTTTGTCATATAAATGTTCTCACAATTTAAATATAATAATGAAAAGAAATTCAGAGAGCAGTGTTTTTTCTTTATAAGACTATATTTTATTGAATGATATACATATTAACGTTTAGATGTTGAATTATCAATATAATATTTTCTGTATTATTTTAAACAAATTTATCTTTTCAGAACCTTTGCCAAGGTAGTACAAAGATTTTCCATATACTCATACTTACTTCCTAAAATATCATCTCATATTAGCATGGTTCATTTGTCCAAATGATGATAAATTAAAATTGTGAAAATTATTTTCTTTGTAGTTTTCATAAGATTCATTACTTTTTATACTAATGCCCTGTATTTCTCCAGACCCCTATTCAAGATAATACATAATTTATTCCTCATGTTTCCTCCATCATTCTTGACAGTGACAATTTCTCATACTTTATTTACGTTTGGTGACTTCAACAATTTTCAGTTGTGTATGTCAGACATATTTATGTGAAGTCCTTCTTTAAGGTTTCTGGTATTATTTTTTTAGCATAGATTATTAATTTGAGGGAGAATTATCAAAGAGGTGAAGTGTCATTTTATTAAATCATATGATGGGTAAATGCAACTAATATGATTGAATGTTTTTGATGTTAGCCTTGATCTCTTAACTTCAATACCATTTGTAGTTACTCTGTATCACCTATGTCACACTGAATTCTGTGAAGAAAATCACTACGTGTAGCCACATTTACATGCATTTTTGGAATGATGTACTTGGGAAATTTTTCTATTCAACTGCTTTTATTTAGTTATTTATTCAATTATTTATAGTATACATTATATTATGCTGTATGTTATTTTTCAGCACTCTGTAGTTTGTATAGTTGCTCACAATCTTTACAGCTTTGGGCATGGTCAGCTATTTGAGTTGACCTGAGCCCCATTGCCCACTGTGTGTGCTGTATATGTTTACTTTAGCACTTCTGGTCCTTATGTAACTAGAAGATGATCCAGGACATCTTGTACATTGTCAGCCAAGTCCTAGAATAAGACATTTTTTTCAAGGAGCACTGGTAATTTAATTAGAAACAAAGATCTATACAGTAGACTTTTTTCTTCTAGCGAAAATGTGATGTCCTTCCTGGTAATTAATACCTGTAATTAAAATACAAGGTAGCTGATTTTCCATAATCAAATAAAAATTGAAGATTAAGTTCTTTATCACATCTGGCTTGTGTTTCTCAATTGAGAGGGAAGGGACACTTGAGGAAATGATGTCCCCAAACTCCTGTATTTTGCGTCATTCAGACTAAATATACCTCTAGGGAAGGAGAAAAGGAAAGAAGTCAGTGAAAATCCTGTGTAAGGGAGGATTTTAGATAATTTTAAAAGGATCAGGGACCACCTGAAACAAACTTCTCTGTGAAAGCAAAGACATCCTGATTCCAGAATGATCAGACATTAATTTAAAAGTACTTTAAAAATTATCATTTGAATAAATAGCCTCTGATTATTTGGAGAAGAAAAGAGGGCAACTCAACATTCTAAACTGTATAAACTCTTCCCAAAGCTTGTAAGATTATTCAATTGTAATTGTGCTTTATGCTTGTGGAGTATTAATCAGATTGATATCACAACCAGGATAATACACCTATTTATCAAGATGTGACTAGAGAAATGTATGGCTATATGTGTGAATATTGAGATTATGTTTTTCAATACACAGAAACCGATAATACTTTTTTTTGCTAAAGAGATTTCACAAAGAACACATTTGATAAAGCGAGTGCACCTGTGGTTATTGGCAGTGTGACGATGTATGATGTATTTAAAGAACACAGTTTTACCATTACCTCCACAGCCAACTCACTATCTTACTCAAACCTATGCAGCTCAGTGTTGCCCAAAATATATCACAGTGCACCCTTGATACAACAGAAGATAGTTCTGATGGCTCGGTGATATGACATTGTGATTTGCAATCTCCTAAGGTAAGGCTTTTTAAACTTTATTTGTAATGCACTATGACCACAATACATTATCATGTATTTCCAATACATATATTTCAAAGGAGATCTTCTGTCTAGAATGTTACAAATGAAGTTTTTCTAAGACTGAAAATATTAAGCTATAGTTAACAGAATTCTAAACACAATATGTGAAAGTATGTATCTGTGTAACATAAACTTTTTGTTACTGAAAATGTTGTCAACCTAAGCATTCTGTATTGAAATCATGAATTTCGATTAAGAACATATTTTAGAGACAATGATTTATAATATAAATAGATATATGCAAAATATCTGCTTCAAGTTAATCAATGTTTTCATAAAAGTGCCTGGATTTTTAATATCAGTTATTTGTCCATAGTTCCTGTGTTTGTGTGTGTGTTTGCATTATATGGAAAACATTTATAGTTGCAGAATGCTTTTACATCAAGTATGTGTTATAAGTGCATTTTTACCATTTCAAAAATATCTGGTTTTGACTGTATTTAGAATATGTATGTTGCTAGGTAATTAAAATAAATTTCATAGTATTTAACAAATCCATAACCTCCAGACTAATAGTAATTCTTCTTTCTTACCACTATTTTATGAATTGAAGTCAAAATTTAGGATACTCAAAACATACATAGTAAAAATGCTGTGGTGAGCTCAGTTAAGACCAAAGAACTCAGAGATCATTTTCTAAACCTCTGATGTGTATTTGTAAACCTGAAACTGAAAGAATGTCTCTTCTTTTCTTTCATATTAGTCTAAGATTCTCTTTTATTTTATTTTATTCATTTATTCACATGTGCATACATTGTTTGAGTCATTTCTCCCCCCTGGCCCCACCCCAACTCTCTGCCTCTCCCCTTCCCCTGCCACAACCACCTCCCCTCCCTTCCAGGCAGAACCTGTTCTGCCCTTATCTCTAATTTTATTGAAGAGAAGACATAAGCATAATAAGAAAGACAAAGCTAGTTGAGTTAAGGATAGTTATACAGAGAGATTCCTAGCACTGCTTCCAGGTACAAATGTGTTGCAACCCAAGTTGATTCATCTCTAACTGATCTTTACACTGGTTTCTGATCCCCTTCTCATGTTGACCTCTGTCACTTTAAGGTTTCTGTATTAATTCCTCTGGAGAAGGGACATCAAACGCTTTCATGTTTCGGGATTTTCTACCTATCCCCATATCTCCCATATGTGCTCTCCCCTTCTCATGTGACCCAAATCCAACAACATTGCTGCATTTGCCCTAGATCTTAAGTCCACATATGAGGAAGAACATACGATTTTTGGTCTTCTGAGCCTGGCTAATCTCACTTAGAATGATGTTCCATCCATTTACTTGTGAATGAGAAGATTTCATTCTTCTTCATGGCTGAGTAAAATTCCATTGTGTACTTGTACATTTTCTTGATCCATTCGTCAGTAGTGGGGCATCTTGGTTGTTTCCATAACTTGGCTATTGTGAATAGTGCTGCAATAAACATGGGTGTGCAGATGCCTTTGAAGTGACCTGTGTCACATTCCTTTGAGTATATCCCCAGGAGTGAGATTGATGGATCATATGACAGTTCTATGTTTAGATTTTTAAGAAGCCTCCACTTTTTTTTGAGAGTGTTTGCACTAGCTGCATTCCCACCAGCACACTAGCTGCATTCCCACCAGCAGTGTATGAGGGTTCCTTTTTCCCCACCACTTTGTTGGTGGTGTTTTTGATGATGGCTATTCTAACAAGGTGTTACATAAAACCTTTTTGTGTTTCTTTCAGGGGGTGGATTGGAGTTTGAACTCAGGGCTTTGCACTTGCAAAGCAGTCTCTCTGTCAGTAGAGCCACAACTCCATCCCTGCAAAGCCTTCTTAAAGTACTCAGAAATATAAAAAATTGAGAGCTAAATGTGAGGAGTGGCTCAAATGGTAAACTACTTGTCTAGCAAGCACAAAGCCCTAAGTTCAAATCCCAATAACTGACAAACATTTTTGGAGAAATAAAATTTACTGGTAATAAATTTAGTTAAGGCTAAAGTTTCAACTAAGACTCTTTCTATATTAGACAGATTGGATTTCATTTCATTTATAAGATTTTATGTTCAACACTTCTCTCCCTCTCTCCCACACATATGCACTTCATTCAGTGTGTTGAGGGGGCATCAGATATTTTATTTAGCAAGACAATCCAAAATATTTAAACAATCATTAATAGGATGTACAAAATTTCTACTACATACAAAGCTCATAATGCAACTAGCAGGTTCAAATACTGTGGAAACATAATGAAGTAAGTGATGAACAATTCTATTGATGCTTTCAAGAGCTTACATAATTATTAGTACATCTTTACTTAAAACTAGCAAAGCACATTATGTTCCAAATATTAACTCATGCAAAATCTTCTAAATTAATCTGTCTTTAAAGACTTACTTACTTTTTCATTATTTACATGTGCAATATTTTAAGTGTAGTAGAAAATAAATTTTTTTTATGAAAACAGACATAAGTGATAACTCATTAGAAAGTTACAATTTCATAACAGAATGTGTATTTGACCTTCAAATTTAGTGTTTATTTTTATTTTTGTGTTTTCTTTTGTAGATTTTCTCCTAACGCATGATTTAACACATGGACTGGAACAATGGATCAAAACAACAGTGTATCTGTGTTTATTTTGCTAGGGTTAACACAGGATACTCAGAGGCAAAAAATGGTGTTTTTAATCTTCTTAATTTTCTACGTGGGAACCATAGTGGGGAATATGCTCATTATTGTGACCATCAAGTACAGCCAGATGCATAGTAGCCCCATGTACTTTTTCTTATTTTATTTGTCCTTTACTGATACCTGCTTTTCAACATCCATAACCCCCAGACTAATTGTGGATGCCCTCTCTACAAAGAAAATGATTTCCTACAATGAATGCATGACACAGGTCTTTGCACTACATTTATTTGGGTGCATGGAGATTTTTGTCCTTGTATTCATGGCTTTTGATCGCTATGTTGCCATCTGTAAACCCTTGCAATACCCAACCATCATGAGAAGACAGGTTTGTCACATCTTGATTGTTCTTGCCTGGACAGGGTCTTTTATACATGGCATTACTCAGGTTATTCTGCTCTTCAGATTGCCCTTCTGTGGACCCAATTTGATTGACCATTACTGCTGTGATTTGCAGCCCTTGTTGAAACTTGCTTGCATGGACACTTACGTAACCAACTTGTTGTTCGTGTCTAACAGTGGGGCACTTTGCTCATGTAGTTTCACGATTTTGATGATCTCATACATTGTCATTTTGCATTCACTGCACAACCACAGTGCAGAAGGGAGGAAAAAAGCTCTCTCCACTTGTACTTCTCACATCATTGTAGTCATCTTATCTTTTGTTCCCTGCATATTCATGTATGCACATCCCCCAACCACTTTTCCCATGGACAAGATGGTGACAGTATTTTATACCATTGGAACACCATTTCTCAACCCACTTGTTTATACTCTGAGGAATGCAGAAGTGAAGAATGCCATGAGAAAGTTATTGGATGTTAAAATCATTACTGAATAAGTGCACATGTTAAATATTATGTGTGAATATTGTGGTGTAATGTGTTATCATATACATATGTCTTTTCTTTATGTTTCCCATGTATAGGTGCTAGGAATGTGAAGGCATGTTCTTTTATTGCACAGCCATTTAGAATGTCTCAAAATTGTTTTCTCTTCAGATTTTCTCCTTTCCATCCATGCAGTTCCAAGGTGTAAACCTAACAGTTCTTTGCACTCTAATGCATTTGATTTCTTTTCTCTTTATTCTGTGTTTCTGGTCATAGACTTGTAGCTTCCCTAAAATCTTATGTTTGAGCTTTTCTTTCCCAAGAGCTACAATCTTGCACTGATACTTGTAATTTATAAATACAATTTAGTCCACACACTACTTTAACAAGAAAAAATACAATTTTGATGGGACAAAAGACAGCTTTTCTTTGATAAGAAGTAAAACAATTTTCCTTTGATAAGAGAAAGGCAACTTATATGCTCAAAATTATGAGTATCCATAAATATTGTTTAATTATCTATATTTAATTCCTTCTATCACACATTTCCATTAAAACATGTTTCAGATCATTTGTAAGGCAAAGAATCTGTCAGTATTTCAAGAATGCACATTTCATTTAATCATCAGTTTGTAATTAAATAGTTCCATGTGTTTGAATCACAGGCTGTTCTTATAATATGCTAAACTAACATTTTAATTGTTCCCATTTTCATATTAGTATAACTGGTATGTTATTATGGTATTTTTACTATTTAGTATTAAAAAGCATTGAAATATTTTTCTATGCATTTGATCAATGTATTAAACTACATGACGACAGAATTCTGAGATTCTAAGGGGTAGGAAAGAAGAACAATGTAAGTTCTAAAACATCTTTTAAGTTAAATATCAAATTAAAAAATTTAAATGTACTGTGTATACAACATTTTATCAGAATGCTGGGAAGAACTTAGAAGCCTTTCGGAAGGCAGAAAATGACACTGTTTTGTATATAAAGTTATTGATGTCAATGGAGCAAAAGAAATCACCATACAGATTGATAAAATATTCCTAATTATCTCTAGTTAGTGGTGTTAGAGAGAATAAATTATTGTACCAGCAAGCCTCTTTTATTCTCTATTTGTACTGTCTTAGTAAAGGGTTTGTTTAGATTAACAAATTAAAGTTACTAATGTTTTATTTTGCCCAAATTTCTCACAGCATATTCATAGCTGTATTATACTATTCATTCATTCACTTTGGTATTCATTCATTTTACTGTTCTAAGTGTATGTTACTGTTGGGATTCAGGAATAGTAAATGAGTTTGTAAACAAGGAGAACAAATGCAGAAAGCATTCATTCAATGTTTGATCTTGATAAGACGTACCTGTTCTTGGATCTCTGAAACGTTTGCTTAAGAATAGTTGTAGTTCCTTCTCCTTTCATTCTGATCCTAATCTGCTATGCTACATGCCTTTCGTGCTAATGCCAGCAATATGATTAATTGTTCACAAAAATATTCTTAAACCACTTGCTGCACTCAATAAAAGCCATGAGGCATGCTGATTGGGGGAGTTAGTCTTGAACTAGTTCCCCACAGGTTCTCTTGTAGGCTACTGTGTTAAAGTGGTAATCCCCTATCCATTGCTTCAAGTGTGCTCATCACAATCTGGCAAGTAGTGCTCTGTGTGAGGAAAGTTGTGACCCATGCAATGAATAGTATGCAAAACCAGAAAACAAAAGTCATTGTTGTGCACAGGCACTGCTAAGTTCTTGGGAATTTTCAAGTGAGAGCAGTTATGGGACAGCAACTGTCTACTGAAAAAAAATGCTATGTAAGAACAGTTAAACAGGCACTTAAAGCCAATGTGGCTATTGTAAGTGAAGACTAAGTTGATAAAATGTTGCTAACAGTATCTCTATGCAATCCTTGGTTCCCAGAACATGAAACCCTTAATTTGAATGTCGGGGAAAGAACAGGTAATAATATGAAAAAGAAACAAGCTCAGGGGGAAAAAGTACCTCTACATATGAGCTCTAGTATGGGCTGGACTAGCTCCTCTACACACAGGGAAGCCCCTAGCACCTCCAGAAGTGGCACTTCAACCCTCTGCCCTGGTTGAGGAGGACAAGCTGTCCCCGAGTACCCTTCCACTTTATCCCCCAACTATGATTGGAATGAAGAAAACCTCAAGTTTGATTGCTTAGCTTCAATGCCTAAGAGAGGCAGCCCTCAGAGGGGACCTGATGGGCTTCCCTGTGATTCAAAATGCACAGGGACAGTGACAACATGAACCTCTTAATTACAATACTGTTAAGGAAATTAGAAAGTGTATCTGAGGGAATGGAGCTAATGGTCCATTTACAAAAGAAGTTATTGACTCTTTATCTGAAAGTTATTACATGACCCCCTGGGATTGGCAACATCTGCCTAAAACATCTTTTTTTTTTGTCTTTTATTCATATGTGCATACAATGTTTGGGTCATTTCTGCCATCTTCCCCCTGCCCTCTCCCTTACTCCTCCACCCCTCCCTGTCCCCCCCACCCCCTCGCTACCAGGCAGAAACTATTTTGCCCTTATCTCTAGTTTTGTTGAAGAGAGAGTATAAGCAATAATAGGAAGGACCAAGGGTTTTTGCTAGTTGAGATAAGGATAGCTATACAGGGAGTTGACTTACATTGCTTTCCTGTGTATGTGTGTTAACTTCTAAATTAATTCTTCTCAAACTAACCTTTTCTCCAGTTCCTGGTTCCCTTCTCCTATTGGCCTCTGTTGCTTTAAACTATCTACATTAGTTTCTCTGCATTGAGGGGAACAAATGCTGTCTAGTTGTTTCGGTGTCTTACCTATCTTCATACCTCCCAAGTGTGCTCTCGCTTTATCATGTGATCAAAGTCCAATCCCCTTGTTGTGTTTGCCCTTGATCTAATGTCCGCATATAAGGGAGAACATAGGATTTTTGGTTTTTTGGACAAGGCTAACCTAACTCAGAATTATGTTCTCCAGTTCCATCCATTTACTTGCGAATAATAACATTTCATTCTTCCTCATGGCTGCATAAAATTCCATTGTGTATAAATAGCACATTTTCTTAACCCATTTGTCAGTAGTGGGGCATCTTGGCTATTTCCATAACTTGGCTATTGTGAATAGTGCTGCAATAGACATGGTTGTGCAGTTGCCTCTGAAGTAACCTGAGTCACATTCTTTTGGGTATATCCCCAAGAGTGGTATTGCTGGATCATATGGTAGATCTACATTTTGATTTTTAACAGGCCTCCAAATTCTTTTCCAGAGTGGTTGTACTAATTTGCATTCCCACCATCAGTGTAAAAGGGTTCTTTTTTCCCCACATCCTCGCCAACATTTGTTGTTAGTTGTGTTGCTAATGATTGCTACTCTAATAGGGGTGAGGTGGAATCTTAGTGTGGTTTTAATTTGCATTTCCTTTATTGCTAGAGATGGTGAGCATTTTTTCATGTGTTTTTTGGCCATTTGAATTTCTTCTTATGGGAAAGTTCTGTATAGTTCACTTGTCCATTTCTTTATTGGTTCATTAATTTTGGGAGAATTTAGTTTTTTGAGTTCCCTATATGTTCTGGTTATCAGTCCTTTGTCTAATGTATAGCTGGCAAATATTTTCTCCCACTCTGTGGTGTCTTCAGTTTAGAGACCATTTCTTTTGTTGAGCAGAAGCTTTTTAGTTTTATGAAGTTCCTTTTATCTATGCTATCTCTTAGTTGCTGAGCTGCTGGGATTCCATTGAGAAAGTCTTTGCCTATACCAATTAGTTCCAAAGTATTTCCTAGTCTTTCCTGTACCAACTTTAGAGTTTGGGGTCTGATATTAAAATCCTTGATCCATTTTGAATTAATATTGGTATAGGGTGATAAACACGGATCTAGTTTCAGTTTTTTGCAGACTGCCAGCCAGTTTTCCCAGAAGTTTTTGTTGAAGAGGCTGTCTTTTCTCAGATAAAGATAAGTTGGTTATACTTGTGTGGCTTCATATTTGCATCCTCTATCCTGCTCCACTGGTCTTCATTTCTATTTTTCTGACAGTACCATACTGGTTTTATTGCTAATGCTTTGTAAGATAGTTTGAACTTGGGTATTGTGATACCTCCAGCATTGTTCTTTTTACTGAGTATTGCCTTGGCTATTTGTGGTCTCTTGTGTTTCCATATAAATTTAAGGGTAGATTTTTTAATCCCTTTGATGAATGTCATTGGGACTTTGTTGGGAATTGCATTAAGCATGTAGATTGCTTTTGGGAGTATAGACATTTTTACTATGTTCATTCTACCAATCCATGAGCATGGGAGATCTCTCCACTTTCTATAGTCGTCCTCATTCTCTTTCTTCAGAAGTTTATAGTTTTCCGTGTAGAGATCAGTCACATCCTTTGTTAAGTTTGCACCTAGGTATTTGATTTTTTTGAGGCTATTGTAAACGGTATTGCTTTCATATATTCTTTCACAGTTTGTTCATTATTAGTGTATAGAAATGCGAATGATTTTTCTGTGTTGATTTTATATCCTGCTACCTTGCTATAGCTGTTGATGGTGTCTAGGAGTTTTTGAGTAGAGTTTTTTGGGTCTTTAAGGTATAGGATAATATTGTCTACAAATAGGGATATTTTGACAGCTTCTTTGCCTATTTGTATGCCTTTTATTTATTCTTCTTGCCTAAGTGCTCTGGCTAGGAATTCCAGTACTATGTTGAATAGGAGTGAAGATAGTGGGCATCCTTGTCTCCTTCCTGATTTTAGAGGGAATGGTTTTAGTTTTTCTCTGTTAAGTATAATGCTGGCTGTAGGTTTGTCATATATAGCTTTTATGATGTTGAGGTACTTTCCTTCTATTCCTAGTTTTCTTAGAGCTTTTATCATGAAATGGTGTTGGATCTTATCAAAGGCTTTTTCTGCATCTATTGAGATGATCAAGTGCTTTTTGTCTTTGCTTCTGTTAATATGCTGTATTACATTTATTGATTTTTGAATGTTGAACCACCTCCGCATTTCTGG